GTGCACGCGCTTTCTCGCCCGTGGGACCGAGGCCACAGAAGGAAGTGGAGGAGGAGGAGGACGAGGAGGGGGAGGAGGAGGAGGAGCAGGAGGAGGGGGTAACCGCCAGCATATCCCCCCCCCCCTTCCTTACCCCCCCCCCTTCGTCCTCTCCCTGCCCCCCCCCTTCTCGTGCGACCCGATCCTGGGGAAACCAAGAGGTACCGATACCGCTGCTCCCCAGACCCATCGCGGGGTGCGTTCTGACCAGAATCTCGAGGCGAATCCAGCGGTAGTGACGAGGGCCTCACAGGAGGCCCAAAAAGAGGAAAACGGGCGAAGGGTAGCGGTATGGACACTTGTTCCTCCCCTGAGATCCTGGTACACGATCACGTTGGCCTCCTCGCGCTGCCCAAGCAGCTCCCTGCACAGCCCAACCACGAGGAAACCCCGTGGTCGCAGGGCCGCCCCCCCGCCGGGGGCCTCTGGGGGCGGGCAGACATGCCCGTCGGTCAGAAGAAGTGGGTAGAAGCATGAAGTAGGGAGGCGCTGAAAGTAGACTGGGCTTCCGCCCCCTGAGGACAAGGGCAGCCCCTTCAGAACCCGTCGGCGTCCGCAGCGGCCCTGGCAGCTTCAGAAAGATGCGCCGTCAACGATTGTCATTCCTTCGCGGGAAGGGTTGGCCCCGCGGCCGCCCCGCCCGGCCTGCCTTCTGCGGCGGTTCCGTTCGCGTTCGCCCTTGGAGGGAGAGCTCGAGCTAAGCTAGTGTTCTGTTCCCCTGGCGAAGCTCAGAGCCTCTCTCCGAAGCCCAGGGGGTCTGACGGAAGGCGCCTACGGCAGGTCCGTGCCGTGCCGACCCCGGCGTTGGTTCCCGACACCGCGCTGGATCGTTCAACCTTGAACGATCGGCCGTCTCCGCAACGTCCAAATCGTTCCACATCGACCGATTCTGGGCCGCCGCCGGCGTTCAAGGTTGAACGCCGCTGGCGGGGTCGCCGCCGGTCGACACGACGCGAACCTACCGTAAAGAGACTGGGACTTGGGCATCCAAAAACACCTGTGTTCACAGGACTGGCGTGTCCCCTCCCCGCGGATGGCTCGAGCCTCGAGGCCCTCGGACCCTCGACCGTGCTCCATCCACAGGTTGTCAATCCTTCCGCGTCTCTTCTCCTCCTCCTCCCCTCCTCCTCCTCATCCTCCTCCTCTTCATCCTCCTCTTCCTCCTCCTCCTCCTCCTCCTCCTCATCCTCATCCTCTTCCTCCTCCTTCTCTTCATCCTCCTCTTCCTCCTCCTCCTCCTCCTCCTCCTCCTCTTCCTCCTCCTCCTCATCCTCCTCCTCCCTTCTGCCTCCCTCCTCATCTCTCACCCTTCCTCCTCCGCCTCCTCCTCCTCCCTTCTGCCTTCCTCCTCCTGCTCCTCCTCCTCCTCCTCTTTCTTCTCCTCCCTTCAGAGAATGCGCTCGCCGCCACGGCTGGGCGCAGCTCGGAAAACTTGTCAGGATGGTGTCCAGGAAGGGTCCAGGTGGGCGGTCTTGCAACGTAGTGTGGAGGAGGACAGAGAGTGACGAGGGGGACGTGAGCGTTGCGAAAAACTCGAATCCCCCTCGTGTATTACCGCGCCCTGTAGCGGCAACGCCGAGGTGTAGGATTGCCTGCGATGTTCCTTCCGATTTTTCTAAGAGGTCATCTGTGTCTTCGGGGAAGGCTTAGAAAGCTTCTCAGGAGGCTGGAGGCCTTCCGAGCCTTCTGAGAAGCCCCTTCCCACTCCCCCCCTGGCTCGCCGCCGAAAAATGATGCCGATGGTGCGTTCTGGCCAGAATACCAAGACGAATCCAGCCGTCATAACGGGGAAGGTGGCCGTATGGGCAGCGGTGCCTTTTCGTCGAATCCTCTCTGGAGAACCGACGTTGCGGAAGAAATGCAACATCGCGAAGAATCACGACTGCGACCCTAGACCCCAGCTTTCCGCAACATGTTTTCGGGCTCAGCCGATATGTGGTCCAGGGGCCCGATAAACCGCGCGAAAACGCCTGGTGTGAAAAATGCAACGCTCGGATCTCAGGGTAGCGGTATCGGTATCTGCTCAAACATGCCATGTCCTGGTATTTTCAAACCCCGAAATCTCGACCACTTCTCTGGGACCGGCTTTTCATCCTTAGTCGTCCAAAGGCCGAAAACAGCGAAACACTTCCCGTCCTATTTTTTCACGACGCGAGCATGTCTGGGTCAGATCGGGCTGCGTCGGCACGGAATCGAAATCGAATCGGATCGGCTGCGCCAGGGTGCACACCAGCGCCATGGAAGCGTCGGGCCGCGTCGGACCGCACCGGCCGTCTGCATAATGGGATCGAATCGGATCGAACTGGCCGAAAAACGATATCGAATCGGATCGATCGGATCGACATGGGCCCTGCGCTTATGTGGAGATGTTGCTCGGATCGAGGACAATAGGCGCATGATCAACACGCGCTCACCAGAACTGTCTCGAAAGGCGAAGCACATGGGAGCGACAAGCTCGCTCCCTCTCCAAGACACCCCCAGGGGTCTTCGCGAAGGTCTCTCCGCAGGCTTCTCTGGAGGTCTCCGCGAAGGCCCCAAAAAGGACAGACAAGAGTCCGCTTCGAAGACGACGGCTGGGGGAACTAAAAGGACCGATACTGGGGTGCGGTCCGACCAGGACTTCGGGGCGCATCCAGCGCTGGCGACGAGGGCCGCCCTGGCCGCACCCGAGGGGGGGAAGACGAGGGCAGGGCAGCGGCATGGGTACCTGTAAGACGGGCGGGCCCCCCTACTATTTTTTTACTATTTTTGAATATTCCGCCTGTAGAGGGACAGGCCCGACTTAAGGGTACCTCTTCCTCCCGTGAACGACGGCCAGGGGCGGCCGTGCGACCAGGCGCGGGGGGGAAGCCGCGCGAGCGGTACCACCGCGCGGCGGGCGCGTTGAGGTCGAGCACGCTGAGGCGCACGTCCTCGCGCTCGGGGCGGGCACCGAGCGCCTGCGCGGCCGCGGGGGGGGGGGGCCACCGCCGCCGCCGCCGCCGCCGCCGCCGTCGTCGTCGTCGTCGTCGTCGCAGTCGTCGGTGCAAGCGCCAACTTCTTCGTCGCCGCCGCCGCCGTGGTCGCCGTCATCGTCGTCGCTCGAACTGCCAGGAGTGCCGGGAGCGGGCGGAGGGTCTGAATCGCGCGTCTCTGAGATCCGGCGGCTCTGAGGGATGCATCGGGCGCCACGGCCCTCTCAAGGCAGTCAGGGACGCCCCGAGGTCCGTGGGTCGGTCGTCGCCCTCGCCGCCGCCGCCGCCGGAAGGAGTGGGAGGGAGGGGAACTGAGCAGCGGGAGCAGCGAGGCGTGCCTGCGCTTGGAAGGCATCTGGTGAGATAGTGGCTCGAGGCCCGGGTGCAGTCTGCTGGTCTGGGCGGATGCTCGAGTCTCCCGCCAGGGCCAGGCTTGGGCCGGGCATGCCCTCCTACACAGGCGGATTTGGGGAGAAACATGAAGCAGGTTCAAAGCACACTCAGAGATAATCAGAGAATACTCTAAAGATCGTCCCCATGTCATTGTCTGATTATTTTTGAGTGCTCCTCCAGGCGCGCGTGCGCGCCGGGTCGGCAGGCGGAGCCCGGCGCGGCAGACGAGCCGCTCGCGGGGCTCGCACTCTCTCTTGGCCCTGTGCTGGGGCCTCCGGCGGCCTCCAGAAGCCTCCAGGGGGACCTCTGGAGACATCCAGGGAGGGAAGCGGGAAGGGAGGGAGAAAGGGCAGGAGGAGGGGGAGGAAGGCTCCTCCTCCTCCTCCTCCTCCTCCTCCTCCTCCTCCTCCTCCTCCTCTTTTTCCTCCTCCTCCCTCCTCCTCCTCCTCCTCCTCCTCCTCCTCCTCCTCCTCCTCCTCCTCCTCCCTTCTGCCTTCCTCCTCCTCCTCCTCCTCCTCCTCCTCCTCCTCCTCCTCCCTTCGGAGAATGCGCTCGCCGCCACGGCTGGGCGCAGCTCGGAAAACTTGTCAGGATGGTGTCCAGGAAGGGTCCAGGTGGGCGGTCTTGCAACGTAGTATGGAGGAGGACAGAGAGTGACGAGGGGGACGTGAGCGTTACGAAAACTCGAATCCCCCTCGTGTATTACTGCGCCCTGCAGCGGCAACGCCGAGGTGTAGAATTGCCTGCGAAATCTTTCCCGTCCGATTTTTCTCCCCTTCGCCCCGTGTCTATTCTAGCGTCCACTGCTTCGGTTAGTGTACCCTGCTGATGTACGGACGGACGAGTCTGGCGTGCCGAGTGCAGAAGACGTGTAGGCTGAGGACGACGATGGACCATGAGGGAGAATAAAGGCGGAGGCAGGCAGAGGATGATGAGAAGCGTAAGGAAGGAAAGGAAGGATACTAATGGCTTAGATCCCTCATCAAGGCAACTGCTCAACACGCGTGCTGAGGACCTGCTGAAAGAAGAACATGCTCAAACATGCATGGCTCAACGACAGCCCACCCGCCGGAGCGCTGTCCACAACAAATGAAAAAAAAACTGCCTCGCAAAGAAAATGAAACAAAACGACGGCCGCCCAACCACGAGCTACCCTATCACCTTGGGCAGCCCGGAAAAGTATCTGCAACGCGAGTGACTCGGCCAATACTCCTGGGCTTTGCCTGTCTGACGACTTGCGCAGTCAGAACGGAGTTTCTCGAATTGGCCGAGGAGTCTTGCCTGACTGAGCTCTGACTGAGCGCCAAGGTCCTCTGACAGAAGGCGCATTGGCCCTGAGATGCACTTCGACAATTCAACAGGCCGACCTCTCGTCGGAAGAGATCCGGCATGAACGGCATCCGTGGTTCTCTTGCCACGTTTAGAGTCAAGCACGGCTGGCTCACAGCATTGCGCGAGCCTTCAATCATGAATCACGAGTGGGGCATGCAACCAATACTCGAGCGTGCGCGAGCGGGACATTCGGCTCTCACCGCCGGACCCTGTGCGCGTGCCCAGACGACGTGGTCCAGCTTCAGGCCGCGGCCCTGGGCGCCGGGGCGCCGGCAGCGCTTCCTATGCGGCCCGCGGGGCCCTGCGCGCTCGCCGGCTGTCGGCGGCCACCACAGGCTCGCCCTCCGCGATGTTGGCACCGCCCAGGCTGGACCTCGAGGAGAGGCTCTCGGAGCTGGCTGGGCAGGAGCCCGACGACTCTGCACCGGTGCTGATGGTCTCCACGCCTGAGGCCCAGTGTTAGAAAGCGGATACGCCATTGACCAGCCCCAGCTCACCCCCGCCCTCTCCCGTTCCCCTATCACGTCACGATTCGCGCTGGCGCCGCCTGGACATGAGCCAATCCTAAGCATGCCCGGATGGGGATGGCGTCGGCACGAGTCGTGACGTAACAGGCCCCCCCTTCCCCAGACATGCGATGTCCTGATGTCTCCAACACTGGAGGCCTCCTGGATGGGGTCCGACTGGATGGGGACCGAGGATCTGGCCGCACCGCCGATGCACTGGCGATGCCCTGGCGACGTGGGCAACGCATCGGCGACACCGACGTGGAGAGAGTTGGACCCCACATCGAGCCGCATCGGCGACGCGGCGCGACCATCCCACCCCATCTGGGAGGCCCAGAGCTACGGGGCTCCCAGAGGCCACCACGGTCCTGGGGCGGTCTCTGACAGTCCGCGAGGGCCCCGCGAGCGCCCCCCACGGCCGACCACGGCGAAACAACTCCCGTCCAGATTTTTGCGAGCACATCTTGTTGGGCGTGGCTTAGTGGGGGGGGTCAGAAAAGGTCCCCTTTCGTGCCCCTTTCGGGCCCCTCCAGAGCCCCAGGGGGGCTCGTTTTAGGTACCGTTTGGGTACCTTTTCGAACCACCCTCGCCACCCCCCCATGTATGACCCCCCCATTACGCGGCGCCCAATCTTGGCTCCAATCTTCCCCCCCGGGTCATCCTCGTTATGATCAAGTCGGGCCTGACCTTCTACAGGGAGATCTTGGACGAAACGAAAAGAATGACCAACAAATACCCCAAAATGGACCTCCCCCCCCAAAAAAACAAACGTCCCCCGACTACTTGTTGACTATGTTGGCCTGTTCCTCCTGTAAACGAACAGGTCGGACTGAACGTTATGACAAAGGCATTGAAAAACACGGTCCCGTGGTCTGCCCGTATTCCCTCGGGGCTCCGGCGGCCGCTGCGGGACGAGCCGGGCACAACCCCGGACCGCTCTCCCGGCGAGACGCAGCAGCTGGAGGGTATCCCGAGGCTGGAAGGCCGCTGAGAACCGAAGAGGACGCCAGAAAAGTATCGGCGCGCACAAGGGGGTGGCGTGGAGGGGGGTGGGCTTCCTATAGAAGGAGGCTGCTTCTCAGAAGGCGCCATTCTTACATCTGAAGGTGAGGCCCGCGCCTTCTAAGAAGCAGGGGTGCTTCTAAGAAGCCCTCCCCCCTCCCCCCATCCCCCTCTGCGCGTGGCTGAGGAAGGCCGCTGAGAACCGACGGGAACGCCCGAAAACCTCGAGACCCGAACCAGAAGCCTTGAGCCGATTCCCCCGGTCACGCCCGTCATCTCAGGGGTCTCAAGACCGTGTGGCGACGGATCCGGCGGTGACTTCCAAACCCCAGGAGACCTCACCGTGCGGTCCGCCACTACAAGGTTTTCGGCCCTGCGCCCGAGGGGGCAGCGACGGAGCCACGAGGGGCAACGAGCGAAGGCGACCGCGGAACCAGCACGGGCAACTGAAGGGCAACGAAGGCGGGCGAAGGAAGGGCAGCGAGCGGCGACTGCACTCCCTAACGGGCTGTTCGGGCGGGTCCAGCGGGCGGGTCTTCCATCCATCCTCTCTTCCCCTGCCTTTGGGCTGTACGAAAAACACGTCGCCGGTGAGAAATCTGTACCCCTGAAGGGTACTATCAAAGACGCCGAAGGCGGGTATCGAGGGCTTATGATATACATGTTGAATGGCACGCAAGCAGATAAGAGAAGTGAGTGTTGTTGTTGATGTTGTTGTTGTGGGTGTTGCTGTTGTTGTTGCTGTTGTTGTTGCTGCTACTGTTGTCGGGGGGCCGGTTTCGGCGCAACCCCACAACGCGTGAGCGTGAGCCTAATGTTCAAAGGAACTGCAGGCGGCGCCGAAGCGAGTGCGCCAGAGCACGCGCATGGGGTCCAACAAGAATATCTGCTTAGCAATGAAGATTCAAACGCAACAACAAAGACCACTACAACAACCACAACAACAACCACAACGACCCAAACCACAACAACACCAACAACAACAACAACAACCACAACCACAACAACAACAACAACAACATCGACCACAAATACCACAACAACCGCAACAGTAACAACACCAGCCACATCAACCACAACAACAGCAACCACAACGACCCAAACCACAACAACAGCGACCACAACCACAGCCACAACAACAACAGCAACAACTACACAACCACAACCACAACCACAATAACAACAACAACAATCACAACAACAACAGCAATAACAACACCAACAACAGCAACAACAGCACCAACAAAAACAACAACAACAACAACAGCATCATCATCATCATCATCATCATCACCAACAACAGCAACAACAACAACAACAATTACTAGCACGTGGGGACACACCGTTCTCACCAGTGCCAGGGTTTTCATAGGAGGCGGGCAATACCCCCACTTTGTGGGGGGGCCGGTTCAAGCTCTACCAAATTTCCAAACGACTCTTCGCCACCACCCACACCCAGCTTCCCGCCCTATGACGTTCGGACACTTCACTTCGTGGCATGCGGACGACCGTGGCTACTATTCAGGGCCCCGCGGCCGACGACGACGGCGTGCGCGCGCGAAGAAAAAACGAATGTGTCCCGCATGGTATTATTTGACAGGGATGATGGCCCTGGCAGGTGCGCAACCGTTGTTGCAGAAGTTCGAAAAAGTTGCTCGCAAAAGCCCGTTTGACAGAAATGTTTAAAAAGTGTTGGGTTTCCTACGAATCCGCAAGAGCGCGCGGGATGAATTTTGACATTTTTTTTGTTGAAAAACCATTGGTTTTTTGATGTTTTTATGTTAAAATCGCTACGAAAACTAAGGTTTTGGAAGGATTTCGTCTTGCGCGCGCGAATGTCCACTTTACCTTATTTTTTGCAAGGGATTCTTGAAGTTTGGTTATGTTAGAACAAGAAATGTCCACTTTAGCTTATTTTTTGCAAGGGAAAACCGATCGTAACAACACAACCGGATCCGGACCAACCCGTTTTGCCTGAGACTTCCTCACGAAAATGATGAAAATGAGGCTGCGGCCTAGGCGCGGCGGGGGGGTCGTGCACCAGGGGCCCCAACAATAATTATTATTTAGAAGTAATGATGTTCAACAACAACAACAACAACAACAACAACAACAACAACAACAACAACAACAACAACAACAACAACAACAACAACAACAATAACAATCACAACAACAGCAACAGCCACAACCACAACAGTAACAACAGCGGCAGCAACAACAGCGGCAGCAACAACAGCAACAGCATGTCGGATTTCCTGCCCCCGAGCCTGCGAGGTCCTGCCCGCGGTCCGCTCGGCACCACGGGGACCCCAGCGCCGCCGCCGGGCCCCACAACGCGGGCGCGGGCCGCTCCGCGCACCCCTCGCGCCGCGGCGCCCCCTCGGCCACGCGCCCCGCCGTCACGACAGAGCCTGATAGCACACGGGGACACACAGAGACAGGAGGGGGAGGAGGAGGAGGAGGAGGAGGAGGAGGAGGAGGAGGAGGAGGAGGAGGAGGCGGGAGGAGGAGGGGGGGAGGAGGGAGAGGAGGAGGGAGGAGGAGGAGGACAGGAGGGAGGAGGAGGAGGAGGAGGAGAGGAGGAGGAGGAGGAGGAGGAGGATAGGAGGAGATGAGGAGGGGAGGAGGAGGAGGAGGAGGAGGAGGAGGAGGAGGAGGAGGGGGGGACACACTGACACACACACACACACACACACACACTCATGCACACGTGTAAGCCAGCGGCTCAGAGGGGCCCCAAGCGCGAGCAGCAGGCAGGAGTGCTGACTGCGATCGAGCACTGTCGAAGGCGCAGCGTACAAGGCGTCGAGCACTGCAACATGCAGACAATGGGTGTGTCAGAGGAATGGTACGTTGCAAAGCAATCCTCCTCCCCCAAACTCTGGTGATGGATGGGAGGGGATATTTTTCTTGAGCCAAAATATGGCGACGATGCAAGAACTCATTCTCTGTCTTCAGCCTGGCCCTGGGAATACCTGCTGGGGTACCCCTCTGAATTGTTACATATCCGAACACCTCTCCTCAGGCATGGAGCGGTGAAGGGCCGAAAAACTGCATCACTGCTTCCAACCTCGGTGATCAATCCGAGATCTTCCGCAACGGCGTGCAAGCCGTCTCTAACAGCACCAAATGACTCTCCAGCCCCTGCTTCGTGAACAGCAGGCGTGGCTGCACAAAACAACTCAGACCAGCCTTGGAAAGAACGGCACAAACGCTCTCTAGGCGCTCTGCCTGCTCGCAGGTGGGGCTCGCGCCAGCAGAGATAATCATCTCGATCAGGCGCTGCTTCCTCACATAGCCCACCCCAAGGCCGATCTTGTTCGCACGAGCAATAGCTCGTAGGTCAGGCACTGTCAGCCTTGAAAGAACTAGCTGCACTCTCGCATCTCCGTCGCTTGCGGTCTGCTCAGGAGCTGCGCTGTCATCACTCAGCGTCTCGGGACGCTCGTAGCAAGCCGCAGTGGAGCCCGCTCTGGCTCCAGCACAACAGCCTACTAGAAAAGACAGCAACGCTATGCTCAAAGCCATCACAATCAGTAGCCAGGGCGCGCCTTTGGCGCCCTCCTCCGTCTCCTGGCCGCGCACCGTCGGTAGCAGCGCGCCCACCACCACTGCTCCGAGCGGCACGAGCCGCAGGTTCATGGTCGCCATGTGCTTAAACAGGGTCTCTGCTTCCACATACTTCGTGAGGATGTCCGCAACCATCTCCGTGGTCGCTTCTTTGATCAACTCCAGCTGTCGCAACCGTACACGATCCTGCAGCCAGAGATACCGTAACTCGAGGTGGCGCACCTTGCCCACACCGTGGCGCTGGCAGATCCCTCTGCCTGCAGCACTGTCGCTGGCCACGACAAGACGCACGGTGACGCCCACCTCTCCAAGGAAGTGCTTCGCCTGCAAACCTCTTGCAGCTCCACTCCCGATGGCGTAGAACTCCGACTCTCCTGACGACAACGCTTGAGTTGCCTGGCTGACTGCGAACGCCTCGACCGTGTGGCCTCCGAAACGAACAACTCCCCCAGAGGTCGAAGTCCTGAAGAGGCTAGTCGTAGACGCCCAGTCGGCATCCGCGTCCACTCGGAGAACCTCTGGTAAGTCCTGGAGCTCATAGCACCACAGCAGCCTCGGTGCGCCCTCGTAGTACCTGCACAGCCGGTGCAGACGTGCGTTCATCAGGACGTTTGGCTTGCTGACGTGCTGCATAATCGTCTTGGAGCTGAACATAGCATCAGGCCTGTCACTCGAGACATACAGGCTCAGTCCTGCCGCTGACGAGGTCGACTTGGCCTCGGCCACGGGCAGTGGGTCCAGGGCATTCCTCATGCCTGCCCCCGTAGCCTTTGTTCCAGGGGTAGGCGCAGCCTTGGAACCCGACTTGTGGCCCCAGCGGATGAGCTCCTCCACGTGCTTCGGATCAGCACTCCAGTAGAAGCCTGGCATCCTGGTCTCGGGCAACTCACTCGTGTAGCCCACTATGCGCTTCAAGTAGTTCAGCTCTCCAGGGTAACCTGGGCCTATGCTCTCGGACTCGGTGACCTCGAAGTTCGCCTCCAGGAAGTTGCCAATGGCGTCGAGGGTGTCGCGGTGGCCCTCCGCCAAGAAGTCATCGCCGTGGCAGCACATCGTGGCGTCCATGCCGTCACCCACTAAGTTCTCGAAGTAGTAGGTCCCAGCTGTGCCCTTCAGCGGGTTGCCTCCTGCGTCGTCGATCGCTGCCTTGCTCGTCTCGCCCCAGAGCTGCGAGGCCTTCCTCGTCCCGTTCATCGCCTCGTGCAAAACCCAGCAGAAGCCTTTTGGGCACAGCTCCCATCCTGGATGCACGTAGACCAGCTCGTCCAAGTCTGCATTGAAGAACGCCTTGCGGACATCCCAGACACGCAGCAGCCGACGGTGCACGCCGTCAGCATCAGACTTGGATGCTGCAAGGGAAATGATCAGCCTGATGACCATCAGCGGCGGCGTCCCCTGGTGGTTGTCCTCGCGGTGCTTGTCGTTCACCTCGGTCGCGACGAACCTCCAGCGCACCTTGTCGCCCTTCATGTGGGCGATCGGGAAGCCCCTGACGTGCTTCCCCCCTGGCTGGCACTGAGAGATGGGCATCTCCGTGTAGACACCGTACTCCTTCATCGCCTCCAGCTCGTCGCGCCTGCCCTCCTGGTAGAGCTCCTCGTCCAACGGCTCGCCTGAGTAGTAGTCGTAGTGGACCATCTGCGGGCTCTCAACCTCGTCTTCCAGACCGCCCGCCCACATGCTGTACAGGCCTGCCACCACTGCGCTCGGGGCCTCCACGGCGCGCGCAGCATGGATCAGGCACAGCCGACAGGCGCAGCCTCCACGGTGGTCAGCTCGAAGTGCACACCGTCCTCCATGCGAGGGGCATCTGCCGTCGCATCGGCTCTCTGCCGTGGGGATCGGGTCCCAGACGGGGTCGCACTCCTCGGAGTCGTCCGCCTCGCAGACCGCGAGCTCACACACCGACATGCCCGCGATGACTGTCACCTCAGGCCTCACACCAAGAAGCTCGATCCTCTGGCGCTTGCCGCCCTGGTCCTCGGATCCTGCAGCCTCGCCCTGATGCTTGCGAGTCATGTCGTCTTTGGTGTCCATCGGCGTGTCGGGGATGTTCCCGCCAGAGCTCCTGGGAGGTTGGTCTGCCGTGGCCTCCTGCACCTGCGCTCCTGGCCTCGGTGTGCCCGGCGCTCGGTCCTCAGGCTGCGAGCGCTGACTAGGACCAGGCGCACTCTCGGGCACGGGCGTGCCAGGCGCCACTCCAGGCGGCGCTGGCGTCGCTGGCGAGGCCCCCTCAGTCTTGAGCTTCCGCTCGAGCTCCTCTTGGACGATGTGCTCGAACCTCTGCCTGCAAGCGTCGGAGTGCTGTCCTCGCCCTGTGGAGCATTTGAGGCATTCTGAAGTCGGTCCATGTCTGTCAATCATCCTCTCTGCGATGTAGAGGCCCTTGGGCCTCGCAATCTCCTTGGCCCTAGCTGGCGTGGGGTCCCAGGGCGTCACGCTGATCTGCCTCAGCAGGTCCTCGGACCAGCGGAACTCCTCGGGCATGCGACGCACCGTGCGCACCTTGAGGAGCCCGCGCTGCATGTCCACGACTAGGTGCTGGTCGTCAAACTCCGACTTGCCTGCCCACACGCCTTTAGCAAAGCGGGCCTCGAACTTGCCCTGACCGCTGGCTACCCGCCCAGCGATCCGATACCAAACCTGCTCGCCGATCTCGGCAACTTCTCCATCGTACTCCTTGCCAAAGAGAAACTTGTAGGAGGACCCTCCGTGCTCCCGCGGCTGGAATCGTGCGACATACCAGCCGATCGCGTTCGTCACGAAGGGTAGGATCGGGTGGTCGGCGTCGATCGTGACTTCCAACCGCTTCTCTAGCGCGAACCTGAAGGTCCTCAAGAGGCCCGCTGCCAGAGAGTTGGCGCCTTCCACGCGCCCCATGCTTTGATGAGAATGCGCTGCGGCTTTACGAACGATGGTGCCATGGCTCCGATGCTTCTTGACATCTTCGGCTATGGCCACGATAGCGGGTTCGCCATCAGTCAGTAGAACAACTGTGGTATGACCCCACGAGTCGATCAGCTTTGCCACGTACAGAGTCTTATATTGCCCAACCGTCTTGTTCGTCATCAGTGTGCCCATAGCATTCGACCTCCCGTCTACGATGTTCAGCACAGGGATCATCGTGCGTCTCTCGTCCCTGGGGATGCGCTTGGCCTCGACGAGCTTCACAACGAAGCCGTGGAGCATAGGGTACTTCTTGGCGATGTCGTCAGTAGCTGCGAAGAAGAAGTCCATCTCCACGATCGGCACCTGGTCCGCGTCGAGCTCAGGGCTGTCCTGCTGCTTCGGATGAGGTCGCTCACGGCCTCGCCCCATCACGCACTCGGGGCACCAGGGCCTGAAGGGCAGGTGGTGTGCTGCATGGGCACGCCTCTCCTGCGCCGTCGGCTGTCCTGGTCTCGTGAGCTCCTTCGCTTTCAGGGTGACGTTCTCCGAGGGGTCTGGTCCAAGCGCTCGAGGCAGAGCCCCAGACGAACTCGTTGGCGCAGTCGTGGGTGCCAGCGTCTTGCGGGCTGCAGCCAAGATGCCCACGGAGTCCTCCAACTCCTGCGGTCGGAGCGCAGCCATGACCTTGCTCTGCTCGGCGTTCTGGCCGTCCTTCAACATCTCGTCGAACTCCAAGTAGCAGGCCGAGCGCTCCTTCTTCAGCTTGATCACCTCGGCGCCGTCGGGCGGCAGCATCGGAGCGTCCACAATCCAGTCTCCCATCGGCGAGTGCAACACGGACTGGCCTCGCCTCGTGATGGCGTCTGTGGAGAGGACGGGGTACTCGATGTCGGCTACCTCCATGCCCAGCTGCAGGACTGCATCTCCTCGTCGAATCTTGACGTCGGTACGACCATGGTGGGGAACCTTGCTCCCGTCGATCGCATGCAGCTCGTGGATCTTGGATCTCTGGATCGTGTAGCCTGCGTCGTACACCATCTGGCTGGGCATCGCCGAGATCTGCGCACCGCTGTCGATCATGATCGCGTCCTTCGGCTTGTGGCTGACCGCTGCGATGCTCACATGCCTCTCCTCGGCCTCAATCGCCTCAAGGCCGAAAACAAACTTGGTGTTGAGGGTGCTGGATGTGGCGTCCGGGCTCGAAGTCAAAGCTCGCAGCCCAACTGGGATCGTGCTCGCGCTGCTCGCTGCACACGACGGCCCTGTACCTGTCGCACCTGGGTTCGTCGGCGGCGCCGTCGGCAGCGTCCCCGTAGTCGGTAGTGACGGTGCTGTGCCGGCAGATAAGGCTCCAGCCTTAGCTTGAGCTCTCCGTTGCTTCTGCCGATCCTTCTTGTCATGCTTGGCTTTCGTCGCGGCCTCCTCTGCATCTCGTCTCCGATCATCAGCAGCCTTCTTGCGGCACTCCGAGCGTACATGGTTCGGCTTCTCACAGTAGCTGCACCACTTCTCGGCGTTCTGGGAGTCGTAGCCCTTGCCTTTCTTGCCCTTGCCGTCCTTGCTGCCCTTCGCCTTGCCGCCCTTGGACTTGCCGCCCTTGAGCGCTCCAATGTCCATGGCGTCGTCGTGCACGCTTCTCTGGGCTGCAAGGGCGTTCACCACCTCTGCTTTCATGTCGGCGTAGGTTGGTAAACTCCGTAGGTTGCGGAACAGATGCTTCTGGAGATCGGGTTCCTCTGAGAGAGCCCCTAGGAGGATGCCTCGTGATACGTTCGCTGAGACCGACTCGCCACTCGCTTTCTCGTAGCGGGCGATCTCCTTGTCTAACTTCATAATCTCCGTGACGATGTCCGCATCTTTGGGGAACACCGTACCTAGAATCTTCCTGAACTGTCCGACTATGTTCCCTGGCTCATTGGGAGAGTACTCATTCAACAGCTTCTTCCATGCCAGGGCGCCTTCTCCCTCAGGTGTGTTGGAGAGGATGCTCTCGCCCGTGCTGTCTTCTGGCATTGCCAGCACCAACATAAAGTACAGCTGGCTGGAGAGAGGCTCGAAATCGGGATTATTCACACTGCCCACATCATTCATCAGCATTGCCACGTCAGGTTCGTCCTCGATGGCCTGAAACATCCTTCTGAACCGAAAATCATTGGCCACTAAGTAGGCCTTCCAGTGAAACTCAAACGTCTTCCATGACGAACGTTGGCCATCGAACTGCTTGACCTTCCCAACTATCTTGCTGTCCAGGATACCTTCCATGCGTCGTGGCACTGATGGGGGCACTGGTGCTGCTGCTTGCGCTGGTGCTGCTGGTTGTGCGGCGGCCATCCTCTGGAGCTCCGCCGCTTGTCGCTGCAGCAGGTCTCTCAGCTCGGCTATCTGCTGTGCTTGCAGCTGCACCTGTTGCTCCATGGCGGAAGCTGACCCGTGACTCCCTGGAGTCACTCAGCAAAATGCCGTGGATCAGATCATGCTCCGCGCTACCATGCAAAGCAATCCTCCTCCCCCAAACTCTGGTGATGGATGGGAGGGGATATTTTTCTTGAGCCAAAATATGGCGACGATGCAAGAACTCATTCTCTGTCTTCAGCCTGGCCCTGGGAATACCTGCTGGGGTACCCCTCTGAATTGTTACATATCCGAACATACGTCCAAACAAAAAATGCAGCGGCCAGAAAACGAGGAGAATCATCAACTCAAAGTGAACTGGAGCGTGACAGCCACACACACACACACACATGCATACAAACTGCTTGGCGTCGCGTCGGCGCTGCGCGCGGCGACAGGGCGCAGCAGGTAGCAAAGCAGTGAAGCGCCCGCGTCTACTCCCGCCCGAGAACTCTGAGGCCACTTAGCTCCTCGCAGGCCATGACACACACACACACACACACACTCAGGCCTACAGCAGAGAATCAAGGCATGACATAAACCTCAAAACTTGGGGATCCGCGCGGATTGCTTGGTTCGGCGCCGGGGCCCCCCTGACGGCGCCTCCGGCGCCGCCCCTGGCGTGCTCCGCGCGCCAGAGAAGGGGGTCCAGCGCCGATCTGAGGAATCCGCGATATTTATGTCATTGCTTGTTCTTCAAACTGCGTCGGGCCTCCTAACTGCACCTCCACAAGGAAGGGCACGGCGATCAAGGCGCCAGAGGTATGGGGGCGAGCTGTCGGACCCCGAGGGGGGCTCCTCTTCGAGCGGGAACCGCCATCCGACCCTGGGAAAATCCAACCCAAGACATCTGGAGGTCGCAAAAAGTCGGGAAGACGTAAGACTCGGGTTCGGGAGGAACGGGTTGGCCTGGTGGGGCCGTCAAGGAAACGACGAGACCCAGTCTGAAATTTGGCGCGAACGCCCGCTGCAGACATCCTACGAAAACAGGACCGTCAAACTCCGGGACGGACCCGCCAAAGAGCACCGACAGGCCCGAGCTCCGGCCTGCCCGAGTCCCACGTGTCCCCGATCTGGGCCTGGGTGCGAGTTGTCAGCTGCTGAGCATGGGCGACTCACACTCCACCTCCTCATCCTCCTCTTCCTCCTCCTCCTCCACCTCCTCCTCGTCCTCGACAACAGCATAACCATAGGAACTCGGAGGTCCGCGTGGAGTGGCAGACCATTTGTTCGGTCGGCCCCCGCAGCGCTGCCACGAGACAAATAGAGTGGGATAGATGTTTTCCGGACCCAGCGGCGCTGCCACGTGACAAGTAGAGTGGATGGAATCTTGTGTCTTCGCCCCTCCAGGCGTTGCCATGTGGCGCGTGGAGTGGCTTAGTCTTCGTTGTTGCCCCCCCGCGGCGTTGCCACGCGGCGAATAGCGGAATCGTATTCTTTTGGGTCCCCCCCCAGGCGTTGCCGGAGGAAGGGGGAGGAAGGAAGGAAGGTGGAGGAGGGAGGAGAAAGGGAGGAGGAAAAAAACGAGGAGGAGGATAGGATCGCCTTGTTATCCGCCTCCATGGCCCTCATCGTCGTCGTCGTCTTCGCACTCGTGGCACCATGTATGCTTCGGCCCCCGCGGCGCTGCCACGTGACGACTGGAATGCCACGGGACTCCTCCGCGCCCACGGGCGCTGCCACGCGGCGCCTGGAGCGGCGGAGTACCCCCTCCGGCCCCCGCAGCGCTGCCGCACGACGGAGTACCCTGGGCTAGCGAACAGTTATAGTACCTGCTCGGCTCCCGCGGCGCTGCCGCGCGACAGGCAGAGTGGGTGTGGGACACGGCTCCTTCGGCGCCTCCAGGCGCTGCCACGCGGCAGGTGGAGTGGGCGACCAGTCTGCTCGGCCCCCCGCGACGCTGCCCCGTGACGAATGCAGTGGAATAGTATTATGTCGGGCGTGTCCCCCTACAGGGGGATCTTCGACGAACGATTTCTATATATATATATATAAATAAAACAAGAAGGTCAAACATACTCAAAAATAATCCCCAGGCTATGTTTGGACTATGCTTTGGCTATGTTGGGGGTATCTTTATTTTTCGTCGAAAATCCCCCTGTAGGGGGACAGGGCCCGACTGAAGAATAGTATTGTGTTCCCCCTCCCCCAGGCGGTGCCACAGCATGGAACAGTACAGTTTCGGTCCCCGCGGCGCCCCCGCGGCGCTGCCACGGCCACGTGACGAGTAGAAGGGAATAGTATCTCTGTCGCCCGCCGAGGCGTTGCCACGTGGCGAGTGGAGTGGGACAGTATGCTGTTCGGCCACCTCGGCGCTGCCACCTGACGAGGCGCACATTGCGCTACAGCGCACTGCATTGCAGTGCACGGCATTGCAGTGCACTGCGTTGCATTGCTGCATGGCGTTGTGTTGCATTGCTCTGTGTTGCGCTGCATTGTATTGCATCCTATTGCATTGCATTGCGATGCATTTGCATGACATTGCATGGCATTACATCCTGTTGCGCTGCATTGCGGTGCATCCTGTTGCATTGCATTGCATTGCACTGCGTTGCCTTTGCATTGCAATTGCAATTGCAATACATTGTGTTGCAAGAAATTGCGAGCAAGGGGGAGGAGGAGGAGAAGGATGATGATGATGATGGGAGGAGGAGGAGGAGGAGGAGGAGGAGGGAGAGGAGGAGGAGGAGGAGGAGGAGGAGGAGGGGGAGGAGGAGAAGGAGGGGGAGGAGGGGGAGGAGGAGGACAGGGAGGGAGGAGAAGTGAGGAAGGTACAGAGAAGAGGGGTGGAAGGAGGAGGAGTGAGGAGGGAGAAAGGGAAAGGAGGGGGAATGCAGGGGAGAACCGGCCAACAAAGCAACTGGCCACCCAGTCACCCAACCAACCGACCAACCAACACCCAGCCAACCAACCGGCCAACCAACGAACCAACCGCACCACCAACCAACTTGCCAGCCAACCAACCAACCAACTAAACAACTAGCCCATCAACCAACGATCCACCCCATCGCTTCGGGAAAAAAAAATGACCCCGAAACAGGTGAGCCAACCAGCCAGCCAGCCAGCCAACTCACCCACCAACCAACCAACCAACCAACCGCCCAAGCAGTCAACAACCAACCCACCCACTAACCCACCAACAAACCGCCGCCCAACCAACCAACCAACCAACCAACCAACCAACCAACCAACCAACCAACCAACCATTTGGAGTCCCGAAACGGTGCGGTGACAGACCGTGCGGTGACCTCGAAATCCCCAAGACCTCAACGCACGGATTTGGGACCTCGGAGGCCCTAATCGCCCGAGACGTCCTCGGAGAACGATCCGAGTCCCAAAACCGTGCGGTGACCCCGAATCCCCACCGACTCACCGCACGGTGTGATCACCACCCCGTTTGGGGACCCCCGAAACCAGCCAACCAACAAATCACCCCTGGGAAGAATGTTCTTGACCCGACGTCCGGCGAGCCAACCAGCCAACCAGCCCACGAACCGTCCCCGGCCCTCCCCAGAGGATTTTTGGAGGATGTCCCACGCCGCGGGGCTGTGGAAGAATGCATTCGATCTGGAAATGATTCTCTTGACCCTGCAAGAAAATGTCCTTTGGATTCTGGAAGAAAGAATTGCTTGAACCCGTCTCCTGCTACGTATAGGCACGCGAGTCCCAGACATGCGACGTCCTGATTTGTTCAACACGCAGTCCCCAGAAGTCCCGACCCTTTCCATGGGACTGGTTTTTCATCCCGAGTCGTGTTTCGACGCTCCCGGAGCCCGGCGAGGGCTCTCAGATTAAAAATCTGGCAAAAACTCCCAGACCCCTGGCGTCATGTTTTTCTTCATGGCGTCGACCCCCAAAGGTCTCGACCCATTCCCCAGGACTGGTTTCTCGTCCTGAGTCGTTTCTGGACGGCCACGAGGCCCGGTAAGGGCCCCCCGACTCCGAAAATCAGGAAAAACCTGCCGCCGTGATTTCTTCATGACGCGAGGGGGCGTGGGTTCTTACTTCCCCTCTGGGCCCGCCCCTTCTCGCCTCCCCCACGGGCTTCGAGCAGGAGAACGACTACAAAATGGACCCACCCAAACTTGATGTCCCTCGTCAAGCCCATACAGCCTGCGTAGAATGTTCGTAGATCTACAAATGATGTTCCATGACTTCGACAAGGAAACCATGAATTTCTGGCGTCCCCATCCTCCTCCTCCTCCTCCTCCTCCTCCTCCTCCTCCTCCTCCTCCTCCTCCTCCTCCTCCTCCTCCTCCTCCTCCTCCTCCTCCCCTCCGTCCCCCTCCTCCTCCTCCTTCCCCTCCTCCTCCTCCTCCTCCTCCTCCTCCTCCTCCTCCCTCCTCCTCCTCCTCCTCCTCCTCATCCTCCTCCTCCACCTCCTCCTCCCCCTCCCCTCTTTTCCCGCCTCCTCCGCATCCTCCCCCTCCTCCTTATCCTCCTCTTCCTTCCACCCCCCCTCTCTCGCTCCTCCCTCCTCCCTCCTCCTCCTCCTCCTCCTCCTCCTCCTCTCTCCTCCTCCTCCTCCTCCTCCTCCTCCCTCCCTCCACCTCCGCCTCCCCCTCCTCCCCTCTTCCCCTAAAGGCGTGCTGAATACTCGCCCCCCCGTATTGTTTTTTAATAAACACACAGGCTTTCCCGGTAGTTGGGTTTTCCGCCTGCGTTATTTTTTCAAATGCTGCTCCTCTTCCTGAGGCGCCGGCCTCATATCTGCTCCCGAATCGTTCCGAATCGTGTTCCCGCTGCAGCGTGGGCCTAATTTTCGGATCGGTGCTTGGCCTCCGTCGTTCAGGATGGCGTTCTCGCCCCAGCGCGGGCCTCTTTCTCGCGCGCCCATCCGCCCGCCACCACCGCGCCGCACCAC